AGCCCCCCCCCCCTCCCGCCAAAAAATAAATAAGAGAGAGAGAGAGAAGGGAAAGGGAAAGGGAAAGGAAGATAAAAGGAAAGAGAGAAGAGGAAGAAGAAGAAAAGAGGGAAACGGGGGCGAAGGGCTCCTGCCTCCCTCCCCCGCCAAAAAATAAATAAGAGAGAAAGAGAAGGGAAAGGGAAAGGGAAAGAGAAGCTAAAAGGAAAGAGAGAAGAGGAAGAAGAAGAAAAGATGGAAACGGGGGCGAGGGGCTTTTGCATCCCTCCCCCCGCCAAAAAATAAATAAGAGAGAGAGAGAAGGGAAGGGAATGGAAACGGAAAAAGAAGATAAAGGAAGAAAGAAGAGGAATAAGAAGAAACGAGGGAAACGGGGGCGAAAGGCTCTTGCCTCCCCCCCCCCCCGCCAAAAAATAAATAAGAGAGAGAGAGAAGGGAAAGGGAAAGGGAAAGAGAAGATAAAAAGAAAGAAAGAATAGAAAGAGAAGAAAAGAGGAAACGGGGGCGAAGAGCTCTTGCCTCCCTCCCGCCTCCCCCGTTCAAAAAATAAATAAGAGAGAGATAGAGAAGAGAAAGGAAATGGGAAAGAGAAGATAAAAGGAAAGAGAGAAGAGGAAGAAGAAGAAAAGAGAGAAACGGGGGCGAAGGGCTCTTGCCATCCTCCCCCCGCCAAAAAATAAATAAGAGAGAGAGAGAGAGAAGGGAAAGGGAAAAGGAAAGGGAAAGAGAAGATAAAATGAAAGAAAGAAGAGGAATAAGAAGGATAGAGGTAAACGGGGGCGAAGGGCTCTTCCCCCCCCCCCCCCCCGCCAAAAACTAAATAAGAGAAGAGACAAGGGAAAGGGAAAGGGAAAGAAAATATAAAAGGAAAGAAAGAAGAGGAAGAATAAGAAGAAAAGAGGGAAACGGGGGCGAAAGGCTCTTGCCTCCCCCCCCCCCTGCCAAAAAATAAATAAGAGAGAGAGAGAGAAGGGAAAGGGAAAGGGAAAGGGAAAAAGAAGATAAAAGGAAAGAAAGAAGAGGAATAAGAAGAAACGAGGGAAACGGGGGCGAAAGGCTCTTGCCTTCCCCCCCCCCCCCCGCCAAAAATAAATAAGAGAGAGAGAGAAGGGAAAGGGAAAGAGAAGATAAAAAGAAAGAAAGAATAGAAAGAAGAAGAAAAGAGGGAAACGGGGGCGAAGGGCTCTTGCCTCCCTCCCGCCTCCCCCCGTTCAAAAAATAAATAAGAGAGAGATAGGGAAGAGAAAGGGAAAGGGAAAGAAAAATATAAAAGGAAAGAAAGAAGAGAAAAAAGAAGAAAAGAGGGAAACGGGGCGAAGGGCTCTTGCCTCCCTCCCGCCTCCCCCCGTTCAAAAAATAAATAAGAGAGAGATAGGGAAGAGAAAGGGAAAGGAAAAGAAAATATAAAAGGAAAGAAAGAAGAGGAATAAGAAGGAAAGAAGGAAACGGGGGCGAAGGGCTCCTGCCTCCCCCTGCAAAAAATAAATAAGAGAGAGAGAAGGGAAAGGGAAAGGGAAAGAAAAAATATAAAAGGAAAGAAAGAAGAGAAAAAAGAAGAAAAGAGGGAAACGGGGGCGAAGAGCTCTTGCCTCCCTCCCGCCTCCCCCCCCGTTCAAAAAATAAATAAGAGAGAGATAGAGAAGAGAAAGGGAAAGGGAAAGAGAAGATAAAAGGAAAGAGAGAAGAGGAAGAAGAAGAAAAGAGGGAAACGAGGGCGAAGGGCTCCTGCCTCCCTCCCCCGCCAAAAAATAAATAAGAGAGAGAGAGAAGGGAAAGGGAAAGGGAAAAGGAAAAAGAAGATAAAAGGAAAGAAAGAAGAGGAATAAGAAGAAACGAGGGAAACGGGGGCGAAAGTCTCTTGCCTCCCCCCCCCCCCCCCCGCCAAAAAATAAATAAGAGAGAGAGAGAAGGGAAAGGGAAAGGGAAAGGGAAAAAGAAGATAAAAGGAAAGAAAGAAGAGGAATAAGAAGAAACGAGGGAAACGGGGGCGAAAGGCTCTTGCCTTCCCCCCCCCCCCGCCAAAAAATAAATAAGAGAGAGAGAGAAGGGAAAGGGAAAGGGAAAGAGAAGATAAAAAGAAAGAAAGAATAGAAAGAAGAAGAAAAGAGGGAAACGGGGGCGAAGGGCTCATGCCTCCCTCCCGCCTCCCGCCAAAAAATAAATAAGAGAGAGAGAGAGAGAAGGGAAAGGGAAAGGGAAAGAGAAGATACAAGAAAGAAAGAAGAGGATGAAGAAGAATCGAGGGAAAAGGGGCGAAGGGCTCTTGCCTCCCTCCCGCCTCCCGCCAAAAAATAAATAAGAGAGAGAGAGAGAAGGGAAAGGGAAAGGGAAAGAGAAGATACAAGGAAAGAAAGAAGAGGATGAAGAAGAATCGAGGGAAAGAGGGCGAAGGGCTCTTGCCTCCCCCCTCCCGCCAAAAAATAAATAAGAGAGAGAGAGAGAAGGGAAAGGGAAAGGGAAAGAGAAGATACAAGGAAAGAAAGAAGAGGATGAAGAAGAAACGAGGGAAACGGGGGCGAAGGGCTCTTGCCTCCCCCCGCCAAAAAATAAATAAGAGAGAGAGAAGGGAAAGGGAAAGGGAAAGAAAAATATAAAAGGAAAGAAAGAAGAGAAAAAAGAAGAAAAGAGGGAAACGGGGGCGAAGAGCTCTTGCCTCCCTCCCGCCTCCCCCCTCCCCCCGTTCAACAAATAAATAAGAGAGACATAGAGAAGAGAAAGGGAAAGGGAAAAGGTGGTGCAAGTTGCATAGAAATTTCCGAATCTGTTTCATCTGTAAGATGAAATGTGGAGTGTACAAAAAAAAACATGGACTTTTCAGTGTAATGCACCTTTCTTTTATATCCAATATTTGTACCAAATATTGTTTTATATTCTCATTTTATGCTCTCCAAAATGGAATATGATCTGTTGGACTGACAAGGTTGAATAATTGTCATTGGTAAGATTGTGTGTTTTTTGTATGATAGCTAAAACAGGTTTGAATAGATAGAGAAGAATATAAGTTGCATATTTGTTCTATGCTGTCCTTGCCGTATTGATACTTTCTGCAGAAAAATGTATGTGTACTGTATGTGGTCAGTCCACGGGTTTATTCAAAAGCACGGAATAGAATTTGACAGATATGACTAGCTTTCGATCTTTCTCTAGGGAAAAAACAAAAACCACTGGTAGAAAATATGTTGCCCTGTCAACCCACATGTTTACGACTACGTCATAAGCATATAGCCTTAGGTTTGTTTTCAACACCTATCATTACAAAATATACTTTTCAATAAATCAAGTCGTCATAGTATGTAGACTTACCACCATTTCGTCCCTTTCCATGTGAAAAAGTATCTGAAGCAAGTTTCACAGTCTGCATCTCTTCTTTCCCCACATCTCTGGTTACCAGATCTCCTCTGTACCACAAAAGGAATTCTCCCTCTTCAAACGTTTTGGTGGTAAAGACTGCTCTCCCTGTGATTGAAGAAATACATAATCTTCATGAGATCAATCATGCGAGTTTAAACATTGTGAATATGATGTTACAAGTATATTTGTCTGTCATTTAAGATAATGCTCAGGTGTGATAAGTAACTCGGACTCGTACTTGTAAGAAGGCACTTATTTTCAAAATTGGTTGAGTTTTAAATAACATTTGTGTGTCTTTTTGGTCACATTGCCATCAAGCAGACTTGTAAGTAACACATTGTATTCATTGTATTTAATATTAGTATGCTGCAGATATTAAATTACAGTGTCATGCATGTCATGATGAACATGACGTTTTCTCTAGATTTTCTAAAAACTTTTTGACATTCAACCCCATGAGGAGGCATTAAAATTCATTTCAAGGTCTAACCTTTAAACACTTCGTCGCCTGCACCACGAACCGTCCTCTCTGCGCACTTTGATGCGAAAGTTAGTTTCGCAGAAAACGCATTTAAAGAAAAGCTTTTTTTAAACCGGCAATAATTATAACTAAAAGTAGAGCAAATTAAAAACCGATGACTTCATTCGATAGTTCAGGTCCCAAAGTTACATCCCATATCTTTATATTTTCTTGAACTTAATTATTTACGCCACAGCGAGCATTGTAACAGAGAGGACGGTTCGTGGAACAGATATAGTGCGCGATCGCGCCTCGCGTCTTTACCACGAACTGGCCGCTCTCCTGCGGACGGTTCGTGGAAAAGATGAAATGCACAATGCGCATTGCTATTTTCACCACGAACCGTCCGCTCCTATTACGCGCAACTGAAAACCGTACAAAATGAATGGAAGATGAAGTGACTGAGAATCGGAAAGTGTTGTTTACAGACATCGGTTTTCTAATTCACATTTTCAAACATTTTAGGGATGTTGAAATAATCCGGGTGATGATGAGAGTAAAGAATGACACATCTACTCTCACTCAATATCAATTCTTCAAAAATGATGAAATATTTTTTGTCCGTACTGCCTCATAAACAGAGAAGACGGTTCGTGAAAAAGATGAATTCCGTTACAACAGTAATCCATTTCACCACGAACCGTCCGCTCTTAACAAGATGTGTACAAACCGAATGAATATTTAAGAAAATCTCAATTAAAGTATGATCTGTGAGCATTCATAGTTATTTTAATTCAATATTGATTTTTTTTTTGTACTGAATAACAGGCAAAATTCGTTTATTGGAAATCAGTTCATTGCATGCAATAATTTGTCTTTTTCTTTTCTTTTTTCTTTTATTTGAAATTTATTAGTTAGTTTATTAGTATTGCTATCTTACTGGACGAAATCAAAATGCTCTTCTTTTAACATTGTCCAATTCTGGATTGATAGTAAATCTTGCTTTCTTTCTTTCTTTGCTTCTTCTTTCTTTGTTTCTTTCTGCCTTCCTTCCTTCCTTTACTTTTTCGTCTGCCTTCCTTCCTTCTCTTTACATTTTCTTTCTTTCTTTCCTCCTTGCTTTCTTTACCAAATTTTCTTCCTTTCTTTCTTTATTTCTTCCGTTCTTTCTTCTTTTTTAAAATTTGTCTGCAGTAATTTCATAAGGCACTTTAAATTAAGAAAATCAGATAAATCAGACATGCATGGAAACAAAGGATTTAGATACACACGTCCATTGCCTGCTTCAAATATCAAAAAAAATAAACAAACATAGATTATTTATCAATTGTGTCTTTTTATCTTTTAATAATCATCATATTATTTCATTCCATAGTATTTGCAACATATTTAACAGAAATATTTACAGACAGAACAAAATCTGAAATAGGCAAGACGAATTACAATTCCTTTAAAAAAAAAATCACACACATTGACATTTTGGCATAATGTTTGTTTAGATCTCATTGAGACAAAAAAGAATGGACAATGATGGAATGTTATTTCAATTTTTGTTTTTTTTTGTTTCTTCATATCCAGTCATCAAGAAGTCCTCGTGATTTGACTCTTTATATCAGTTGTATAAAGTAAAACCTTTGTCTCTATTAATGAAAAAGTGATATATTGGACATCAAATTAGAGGATTTTAATAATCCTATTCCTCACAACTCTGCATGAAATATATTCAATTATGCACATGTCTTAGGAATATTCAAAAGGATATATAACTTTTCCACATTCTATTCATTTTGATTTCCATAGAATCTTGTTAAACTTCATTGTTTGCAGATGGAAATATCAAAATTTCACCAAGATCTCTTTCGTCAGATTCATCACAATAATGAAATATTTAAAATTATGTATCACTTTTCTTCCATTCATGTAGTTATTCTATTTCCAATGTATACTTCATTGTTATTTTTTTTAAACTACACTATTTACAGATAGAAACATTAAATTCTAGTCCTTGATACATCTCGTATTTTCCATTTCCAAGTTTACTTCATTATGTTATTTCTAAACTGCATTATTGACGGATATAAATATTAAATTTCAACACATCATTTAACAAATGCATTATTTATTTTTAATTATTGTAATTATTTCATATCCGTAGTAAATTCAGAGTTCTATTTAAACTGCATTATTTACAGATAAAAAAAGGAATGAGCCAGATACATCTCATAGGAATGTATTATTCCAAAGAAAACATCATTTATCTTCAACACATGTTATCAAATCATTTCATCTTCATATAATTTTTTTCTCTTTAAAGCTGTATCATTTACAGATAAGAAATACCAATGTTCTGAAAGAGCCAGATACATCTCATAGAAATATAATATTGAAAAGAATGTATTATTTCTCATAAATTCATTTAATTATTTCAGTGTATTACATTTTGTTTTTAAACTGCATTATTTACAGATGGAAATGTTAAAATATCACTTGTCTTGAGTACAATAAGTATCATATTGACACAATATTCAAAAGAATTGATTATTTCTCGTCAATTCATTTAATTATTTCAGTGTATTACATTTTGTTTTTAAACTGCATTATTTACAGATGGAAATGGTAAAATATCACTTGTCTTGAGTACAATAAATATCATATTGACACAATATTCAAAAGAATTGATTATTTCTCGTCAATTCATTTGATAATTTCATCTCTATAGTCTATTCCTTATATTAAAACTTCAATATTTACAGATGAAAAAAAAAAAAAAAAAATGAGCCAGCTTAATTTCGTAACTATGAATGTAATATCCCAAAGAATGCATCATTCAATACAAATCATTTAATTAATATGTCATTGATATATTATCTCTTGTGCTAGATACATCTCATACCAATGAAATAAGTAATTTTCGTTTCGATGTCATGCAAAAGTATTTTTTTAGTCTCAATTGTGAATCATTTATAAACAAGTTCTTTTTTTTTAAGATTTGATTTTCAACAAAAATTGAAATCGCTCATATGAAAATACGCAAAGTATCATAATGACAAACACAGCTCGTCACAATCTAGCAGATTCAACTCTACATTTCAGATATGAACTGGTCAGTGATTACTTTTTATGGAAACAAAGAATATGAAAGCATTAATTAACTGATATCATTTGGGTAGCATAGTTTAGTAGTGAGGCAGCTTATCATAAAAAGCCTGGTGGAGTGGGTGCCAGACTGCAGGTGTAGTGCCGCTGCAGAGGGCCTTGAGATCCTGATATTTACCCAAAGATAGCTTTGGTGGGCCATTCCTGTAGAGAGGCTCGGGTGTTACTTCAGTGACCTCTTCTACACCTCTCCGTGTCTGGTTTGTCCTGATCACATCAAATTCTTCATCAGTGTGAGAATACTTGAAGTACACGGAATCCACTTCACCTTTCACGACCTTCATAGCCATGAATTTCTTCCAGTCTACGGTTTGTCCACCCTCAGAGGTTCGGACTCGCAGAATACCTTTCTGTTGACCAACAGACTTCCAATCATCAATATCTCTTGATTGGACTTCTACTACATGATAAGGATGGGGTGAAGACGAGCCATCGCACAAATGGTGCTCAATTGAGTCGGTACCATGACTTCTTTCACACGTCTAATGCTTCGTTCTATGACGCTGTGCATGGCATCACCCTCACTTTGTCCGTGGTTTGTAGGGAAGTAATTAACTGTGACCGATTCAACGGACTTAGCCTTTCCGATGAAATGTTGCAGCATTGTTGGGATGATAGAGTTCTTATTTTGACCGACACAGCCATCACAGTAGAACACTACTTGTTTCACACCCCTCTCATCTAGACTGTTAAGGTACCGATGGACGTGTGAGGCAATTTCACAGGATCCTCTTTTTGTTTCGCACTCGTGTGAAAGAAAGCACCATCCGTCCTTGCTTGCAAGTTCATATATCGTGAAGTTGTAGTTGCTGAGTCTACGTTTGTAGAAAATGTCAGATTGTGGGGACTTCGGCAAGTAAATGACCTGCTCCAGATCGAAAACTGCAGAGACAAATGTGTGGTCAACTAAAGCTCTTTCCTTAGCAAGACTCTTCAACTCTCTTACTTTTTCTTTTTCAGCAATGTGAACTTTGTATGCCCCTGCAATTTCTTCCCTCTCTTTGGGATTCCCACGTCTGTAGGTTTCGCACAAGGGGCACATGTCCTTTTTCGGATGATGGAACTTGATATTCATCTTCTTCAGAACCTTCCTGTAAAGAGATAAAGAAGCACATTCCTCTGTACCTTCTGTAGATGAATTGTACATGCGATACATGATCTCAGGATTGAGATCTTCTGAAAGGTATTCACATCGACTGTTGGCCCGACAATAATGAGATTCTTGACGCGGAAATTGATTAATGTGCCGCTTCACCCCTTCACGTAATAGAGCGTCTCTGTCAGACGTCTGCCTGCCACCCCTTCCTTCACCTTCAAGGCAGCCGTATGGTCTCTTCTTTCCAAGCACGGTCTTCACTTGCCTCTCTGATATACCTAATGTTCCCACGAACATCGCTTTGCATACACGAACTTTAATGCATGGATCACCTGCATTGGGCAGGAAATACGCACATTTTCTGATCTTTCTTGACTTCTTTTCTTGAATCTGTTCGGTGTGCCGTCCAATCCATTCTCTCTGCTTTGTCAGATCAGCAAGGTCATAAAAAGCTGATCTAATAGCTTCACGAGTGTTGCAACTAAATGTGTTGCAACTAAGTCCTCTGAAATGACACTTTTCACATGAGGTTTCGTAGCTAGCAAATCTCCTCGCCGCTTTTAGTTCCTTACTCTTTTCACTCTCATAGCTGTAACCAGCATTTCTCCGTTCTTTGACTAATTGATTTCTACTCTTCACCGTCTTTGGCTGCTCTGGCACCTCCAATGCTCTTTCCCCATCTACTTGAAATGATTCAGGAGACAGTTGACTATTATCAGCTGATTCCTGGGGAAGGCTAGCTTCTTCAAGATGCTCTGGAATATCTAATGAGTCGGTCGCATCGGATTGTTTTGATTCCAGAGTCGCCATCAGTACCTGATCTCCGTTCTCTTCAACTCTTGTATCCAATGAGGCTTGGTTTTCAAAGTTTCCTCTTCTTGATTCCATTAACGGCATAACCTCGTCTTCATTGTTCCTTTCTTCTTCGTTGGTGAGCCCTTGGTACTGTGATGCACTTGAACTGATGTCAAGTGGAATTTCACTGAGATTGAATGCAAGATTATGACAAAGGCAATCATCACGTAAGTTAAAATGAAGGAAGCATAAGAAACACAAGCACTCTGGACACGCTGCCCAAACTTCATCAGTACACATGAAATTGTCACATGTTTCAGGATTTCTCTGACCACACTGCATGTTTGGATGGAGCGGAGAATCTGGAGAAGATAAAAAGACAAAGGGAAAACAATGATAGTGAATGTAATGACATAATTTTCGGGACACAGGTAAAGTTATATTGAGCACAACAGAAACAATAAGTGTGATAATAATTGATCAGGATATTGAATAAATGAATAGAAAATCCCTTTTATATTCAGAACACGTACACAATCAATAAAATGAAGTGTGCTTTTTGTCCATTCTAACTGTATCAATATAATTTCACTTTAGTTATTATCATCAGTATAATTTCCTTGTACTGTGGACAGTCCTCTGATTTCTTTATGTTATTATGAATAGTCATGAACTATTATTGGAAGATATTTTTACCTGCATGGCTGTCAGACTGTGTTATCTGGTCACTTGCGATGGATATTGGTTCAGGCAATCCAGATCCACATCCTGTTGAATCTTCAGGAAGTGATGGCGATGATACGGGTAGAGGACCAAGTTTTGCTTCTGGGGTAGGATTACAAAAATTGAATATAAACACTAGTTTTAAACTCTCCGAAGAAGATGCCCCCCCCCCAAAAAAAAAAATGAATAAGACTACAATAGTGAAATATACACACTAGTTCCAATGCCTCCCCCCCCCCAAATAGAAGACTCATCCCAAACCTGCACCCACCCCTCCCCCCTAAAAAAAGATCTTACAAATGTAGAAGAATCCATTTATAATATTGAACATGCGCTTCGGTCTTTCCTCATTAAGATCTTGTAGGAAAGTTGGTCTAGATTGTTGTTGTTGTTATATTCTTGTATTTTCATAATGCAAACATTCTTATTCATAATTGTAATTACGTTCTTTTGTATATACATATTCATTATTGTAAATATGTTCATTTTTTCATGCACAAGTTCATTATTGTAAACATTTTCTTGACGAGACTCTCATACTCCCAAGAACTGGTTAACACTCAGATGATATCAAATTGGGAAAAAGAGGAAAAGGAGAGTAATACCTGCATATTTGTCAGAAAGTCGTGCCAGGGGGATGTCAATTCCTCATCAGACGATTCTGAATCTTCAAGATATTCTGAATCGAGAACGATTCCTTGCCACAGAGTCCCTTCATAGTCCATGATCACCTCTTTCCCTTTTGTCATCTTCCCTGTCCACTGAAGGAGTGGTGAATGAACAATGTTGTTTGCACCATTCAAATGCCATTGCACCAAAACATCATAGCCTTTATCCGGTCTAAAAAGGAATAAAAAAAAGAAAGAGAGATTTCAACAACCTTATTTTCATAACAATTTTGCATACCGGTATGTATTCGGTAATAAACATACATATTAAGCTGTTCCATGAGAGATGAACTGGTAAAGAAATTATAGCCTTATTTTTTATAATTCATGAAGAAATTATTATTCTGCATTAATATTGGCCCAACACTTGAAATTATAAAGTCAAAGACATCACCTATATATTGTTTTTTAACACCATTTCATTATTTATAAATATTTATTCTGGTAAACATAAGAATTCTTACCTTGATCCACTTTTCCCTTTGCTCTTCTTTGGTCTTGGCATACCTGCTTTGTTTTAGATATCTCCTTCTCTAAGTTGCACAGCCACATCTGCGATAATAAAAACAAGAAAAAAAATGAGACAAAATATTATAAAAGTCAATGATATACAAATCGGTTTCACAATGATTTGACACATAGGTAGAGATTAAAGTTACAATAATTTTACTACACCATGCATTCAAGTACATAAATAAAAATGTCAACAAGAACATGAACATGAATACCCTGGTCCCTGCCAATTTTTGGGACTGAATAAGACATTTTTTTTGTAATGAAAAAATGGTTAATCTAGATGAAGTCCAACTATTGTTCAGTACATTAATTGTAACTATCTTGATTAGATTACATATAAAATAGAACTTTCAGTTTTGGTCCCCGAAATGGGCAGGGCACAAATGACTTAAGATCTGCTAATGGTGGAGCTCCTAGGTAAAACCTTAACTATCTAGTCCAAATGTTAGATCTAGATAAAATCTATAAGATAGGTTAGTTAGTAACATTATACATCTTAATAATACTAAAAAAAGTTAGGACTAGACCTAGACTCTAGTCTAGATCTACACTAAGACTAAGTTACATCTAGGTCTAATTTGTGTCTTTCTTTGATCAGAAATAGATCTGGTCTAGGCCTAAATCGTCGTCGTTAGTAATAGTAGTTACATCTAGGTCTAATTTGTGTCTTTCTTTGATCAGAAATAGATCTGGTCTAGGCCTAAATCGTCGTCGTTAGTAGGGGTCTAGACCCTATTGTAAGATAAAGACAAAGTAGATCCTAGGTCTAGATCTAGAGTTAGACCTAAATTACTAGTGTTGAATTGCTCTTGTTCTAGTTTTTCCTGTGTTTATCTAATCTACAGACAGTATTCATTAAATAATCTTAGAAAGCAGATATCTTCAGTAGATCTGAAGTTAGTTCTTATTATCAACAGTCAGACAGGATTTCGTGTTAGGTCCAACCAAAAACTGAATAGGCGGGACTGTAACATAATTTTTCGTGAGAATTTAATGATAAAATGAACTTTTTAGAAAAATATAATTGCTATAACCGAAGGAAGAATCTCTTATTGTTTTTTGAAAATATTTTATGTTTTAGAAAATAGATCTTAGAGCATATACTTACGAAATAATTGGATCCGGGCAAACTTTCCAGGGAAGCGGCCGCTTCGTGGTGCAGCAGACGGATCAATTTACGTCAAATTCTTCACCACGAAGTGTCCTGAGCGGGCGAGCGCGAGAGAGGACGGTTCGTGGTACAGAAATATCCAATTTATTGCAAGAGGACGCTTTACGATGACGTCGTTATTACGTAACCGCGCAATGTTAGACTCTGAAATTTTCACAAAATGTAGGTATTTATTAGTACATGAAAAAAATGCAAAAAAATAAAAATCGAAAAAAATGCCGAATTTGGACAGAGAGGACGGTTCGTGAAACGGGTGACGACTTAACCAAATCAAGTTTAATACCTCCTGCTTTACAAAAGAGCCCTGTACATACAAATATTTACAAAAAAATAGAATACATTGTAGAAAACATTAAAAAAAAGCTTTAAAAAAATAAAAACTAGATCAAAATGAACAAAAGGCCTTAAATATTAAACATTTAAGATATTATTGATACAAAGAAAAATGACCAAAAAAATATTTTAAAAAATACACATGCCGTAAAAATAGACTACACAACTGCAAACAGACAAACAAACAAAACTAACTTATGGTAAAAGTCATGATATAACATTAGGTACCAGTGCATGCATTAAAGTGATAGAGGGAGTGACTTAATTTGGTTTTTTAACATTTGGAGTGAAGTTGCCGTGCGAATATGAGTCGGTAGATTGTTATAGATGCTTGGAGCAGTGAAAGAAAAAGAACGTTTTTTAAATTCAGTCTTTGGTTTCAGGATAAATAAGGGATTTAAGGTAGAATGACAAGTAACAAAGTAAACTGGACGATTATGACCAAAAGATTCTAAATAAGGGGCTAGATTATTGAGTATTTTGTAGACGAAAATGCAGTAGTGGTAATTGATTCTATTTTCAACACTTTGCCATTGAAGACTGCTTCACGCAATTAAGTGTTGAATTAAGATTATAAAAACAGAAAAATATGAGGGAAAGCATATCAAATATTCTACTGCATGAAATTAATGAAATATACAGAAAGGGTATAGATTTTACTAAAGAAGTTGACCTGTTTAACTGCGAAGGGTATCAAAGTTACTCTGAAAAGAGCTGGTGATTTTCAGACAATAGGCGATGAGGTGTGATCAAAGAACCATACCAGGCGTTCCTTGCATAGTCTAGCTCTGAATCAATATTTTATTGAGCATATTAATGTTAGATATCTATGCTACAGTGAATTTTCACTATTAATACAATCTACATGTACATGTATGTAACCTCACTCACCTTTGTCAGGCAGCTGTTTTACTGTAAATCCTTCAGGATCAACTTCACTAAAAATATCTGGAACTGTCTGTCTGGTTTGACTTCTGAGAATCCGATTCTGAAACAGGTCAAGTAAATATTAGTAATATTATGCAGAAACACAGCTGTGAGCAAGCTGGAAGAAAATATCTAAATATTACACCCCCCCCCCACATCCTCCCCCTTATCATACTGGAATTTGCCAAAATATTGCTACTCATATCCATGCTCAATTTTATTATATTATTTGTTAAAATCATGAGGTATTATGAAACACATCCATTATGATGTACATCAAGGGGGTCATGTAAATACATGGCTCCACATTTCCCATGCACACATCTTATCATATTTGACTCATTTGCAATAGATATAGATTGCTCCACATTTCCTATGCACACATTTATACATATCTAGCCCATATGCAATAATAAATGTGGCTCCACATTTCCCATGCACACATTTATACATATCTGGCTGATGTGTAATATATATACATGTAGATATGGCTCCACATTTCCCATGCACACATTTATACATCTTCAATCCACCTTAAATAGTTGAGATAAACATGGCTCCACATTTCCCATGCACCCATTTATACACATCTGGCCCATATGTAATATATAAATGGCTCCACATTTCCCATGCACAAATGTATAGACATCTGGCCCATGTGTAATATATATATATATATATATATATGGCTCCACATTTCCCATGCATAAATTTATACATATCTGGGTCATGTGTAATATATATATAGATATGGCTCCACATTTCCCATGCACACATTTATACACATCTGGCCCATTTGTAATATATATATATGGCTCCACATTTTCCATGCACACATTTATACACATCTGGCCCATGTATAATATATATAGATATGGCTCCACATTTCCCATGCACACATTTATACAAATCTGGCCCATGTATAATATATATATATATATACATGGCTCCACATTTCCCATGCACACATTTATACACATCTGGCCTATGTGTAATATATATATATATATGGCTCCACATTTCCCATGCACACATTTATACACATCTGGCCCATGTGTAATATATATATGGCTCCACATTTCCCATGCACACATTTATACACATCTGGCCCATGTGTAATATATATATGGCTCCACATTTCCCATGCACACATTTATACACATCTGGCCCATGTGTAATATATATATATATGGCTCCACATTTCCCATGCACACATTTATACATCTTCAATCCACCTTAAATAGTTCAGATAAACATGGTTCCACATTTTCCATGCACACATTTATACATATCTGGGTCATGTGTAATATATATATAGATATGGCTCCACATTTCCCATGCACACATTTATACACGTCTGGCCCATTATATATACATATATATATATGGCTCCACATTTCCCATGCACACAGTTATACAAATCTGGCCCATGTATAATGGCTCCACAGTTCCCATGCACACATTTATAAGTCTTCAATCCACCTTAAATAGTTCAGATAAACATGGCTCCACATTTTCCATGCACACATTTATACATATCTGGGTCATGTGTAATATATATATATATATATATATATGGCTCCACATTTCCCATGCACACATTTATACACGTCTGGCCCATTATATATATATATATATATATATGGCTCCACATTTCCCATGCACACATTTATACACATCTGGCCCATGTGTAATATATATATATATATATATATGGCTCCACATTTCCCATGCACACATTTATACACATCTGGCCCATGTGTAATATATATATATATATGGCTCCACATTTCCCATGCACACATTTAAACACATATTGCCCATGTAGATCTATATATATATATATGGCTCCACATTTCCCATGCACACATTTATACACATCTGGCCTATGTATAAAATATATAGATATGGCTCCACATTTCCAATGCACACATTTATACAAATCTGGCCCATGTATAATGGCTCCACAGTTCCCATGCACACATTTATAAATCTTCAATCCACCTTAAATAGTTCAGTTAAACATGGCTCCACATTTTCCATGCACACATTTATACATATCTGGGTCATGTGTAATATATATATATATATATAGAAGTCTATATAGAGATATGGCTCCACATTTCCCATGCACACATTTATACACGTCTGGCCCATTATATATATATATATATATATATATATGGCTCCACATTTCCCATGGACACATTTATACACATCTGGCCTATGTATAAAATATATAGATATGGCTCCACATTTCCAATGCACACATTTATACAAATCTGGCCCATGTATAATAGCTCCACAGTTCCCATGCACACATTTATAAATCTTCAATCCACCTTAAATAGTTGAGATAAACATGGGACCACATTTCCCATGCACACAATTATACACATCTGGCCCATGTGTAATATATATATATATATATATATGGCTCCACATTTCCATGCACACATTTATACACATCTGGCCCATGTGTAATATATATATATATGGCTCCACATTTCCCATGCACACATTTAAACACATATTGCCCATGTAGATCTAGACCTAGGCCTAGGTCTATATCTAGTTATGGCTCCACATTTCCCGTGCACACATTTATACACATCTGACCCAGATTATTATGGCTCCACATTTCCCATGCACACATTTATACACATCTGGCCCATGTGAGTTATATACAGGTAGGCCTAGACCTATGGCTCCACATTTCCCATGCACACATTTAGGCTAAATCTGGCTGATGTGAAATAGACCTTCGAATCTAACGTTACTAGATATTCCTTTAGTTTAACTCTAAAGTTAGGCCTAAGAAGAACTTATACTAGACCTAGATCTACTACTACTAGTAGCCTAGACTAGTAGTACTAGTCTAGGTCTAGGCCCAACGTTAGGCCTACTAGATCTACATCTTACTTAGATCTAGATCTATGTAGACCCTCTATGCGTTTTTTGTACCCAATATCATGAATAGAACTAGATCTATAGGCCTAAGGAATTCTTTAAAAAGTTGATAGAATATTAATGGGCCTACATGTAGACTGGATTAAAAATGAAAGTAAACTTTCTAGATCTAGACTAGTTCTACTTACTTTTGCCAGTTGTGGCTGTACTAATCCCGCCATGACATGTCCATATACGTTAACAGGCACGTCGCAAGGTGCACTGCACCAGCACTGCGCATGCGCTGCATCTAATAAGATACAGACTGTGCAGTGTGTATCCTCATGCTGGCGCTCTTCACTTGATATTATTCTTGAGATCGGAAAATAATACACATATTCAGGCTGCAAGCTATGACTCCAAAGTGGGAAACCGGGGATGGAGTTAAATCGCAGCCGAACGTTGATGGGGTACTACTGAGATGTCCCAAAGCTGATTTAAATCTCGTTTTAATGATTCTGCAACTGTGGAGCTCCACGGTTTGCTGTGTCTCCACAGTTGGAAGTTGTGTATTCATATGAACCTCCCCGATTGACGGTCATTACAAGTGCATGCACACACGCACATGCACACAAACAACCACACACACACGCACACGCACACACACAAACGAACAAACAATAAACACTATTAGAGAAAGAAGACGATTCGTTGTACCGTTCTCGAAAATAATCCTCGTCTGAATTCAGTTCCCCCATCCCCCATCCGCGCGAAGCGCGGAAGCTTTTACGTTTCATAAAATCATTAGAGAAAGAAGACGATTCGTTGTACCGTTCTCGACTCTTTATCCTCGTCTGAATTCAGTCCCCCCTCCCCCCTCCCACGCGAAGCGCGGAAGCTTTTACGTTTCATTAAATCATTAGAGAAAGAAGACCATTCGTTGTACCGTTCTCGACTTTTAATCCTCATCTGAATTCAGTTTTTCCCTTCCCCCCCCCCCTTCCCTCCCTCCCGCGCGATGCGCGGAAACTATTACATTTCATTAAATCATTAGAGAAAGAAGACGATTCGTTGTACCGTTCTCGAAAATTCAGTTCCCCCATCCCCCTCCCTCGCGAAGCGCGGAAGCTTTTACGTTTCATAAAATCATTAGAGAAAGAAGACGATTCGTTGTACCGTTCTCGAAAATAATCCTCGTCTGAATTCAGTCCCCCCCCCCCCCCCCCCCTCCCTCCCGCGCGTAGCGCGGAAGCTTTTACGTTTCATTAAATCATTAGAGAAAGAAGACGATTCGTTGTTCCGTTCTCGACTTTTAATCCTCATCTGAATTCAGTTTTTCCCTCCCCCCCCCCTCCCTCTTGCGCGAAGCGCGGAAGCTATTACGTTTCATTAAATCATTAGAGAAAGAAGACGATTGGTTGAACCATTCTCGATTTCTTTAAAAAGGGGGTGGGTTTTTTCTCTCTCTCTTTGTACTCCTGAGAAATGTAAAAAGGAGGTTATAAAATATCTGGAATATCATAGAAAAATTGATCACATCCCGGGATCAAATTCCTTAAATTCCTGCTAGCTTTGAAAGCTCATTCAGGATTATTTCATTTTGAAAAGTAAAAGCATTGGCCCCCAGTCCCCCTCGATCGACTAGAGCTCACCTGAAATTGGGGGGGGGGGGGTTGGTCCATTTAGTAGTGTTCCGGATTTGGGGGGGGGGGGAGGGTCTCCAAGGCAGGAAAAGCCAGCGAAAAGCCGGCGAAAGGGGGATTCAGAAATGTTGGCAGTCCTGAGATAGGGTGGGGGGCGTGCTTTCAAAGGGAGAGAACGAGCATACGCGTACCCTAAATAACTCTAAGTGGGGGGGGGGGGGGGGGGGGGGGGGGGGGGGGGGAGCCGGGCATCTACTGTATATGATTGCCCTTTTTAAAGGGGAAGTCCACCCTGAAATTAAGTTAGTTTTAATAGGAGTAGAAAAATGAGAGAAACAAGTCAGTGAAAGTTTGAGCAAATTCCGATTAAAAATAAGGAATAATAATAGACATACATGTGTATCACAGCGCTTTACAACATATTATTACCCCGGTCATCGGATTCAGGCTTACCCGCACACAAGGTATGCACATTCTCCACTCCCTGGGGAGCATTCCAGCCAGTCGCCATTTTACAAGCGCCACTTGCTAATCAAACCACATTAGCTTTCGCATCCTACCGGGTACCCATTTTAACACCTGGGTGGAGAGTGGCAAATGTAGATCAATGTCTTGCCAAAGGACATTAGTGCCGCGGCGGGACTTGAACCGCGGACCTTGTGATCCACAGTCCGGTGACTTATCCACTCGACCACGACACCTCTAAGGAAGTTAGGATTTTTGAAGTTGTGATCAATCAAACACAAATTGGCAACTCTATGACGTATCATGCGAGCTCAACTTCCATTTGCTCAGTACTAAAAAAATCTAAAATTTTCATTTTCCCTCAAGAAAAATTTCAACCATACATGCACCCTAAATATAATAATTGCAAATATGTTTCTATACTCCCCCTGCAAGGAACAAATATATATTCCGTCATCAATAACGAAGAAAACATGATTTTATGGAATATTATGCACAAAGCAAATGAAGGAGAGCTCGTATAATAAGTCACAGAGTTACCAATTTGTATTTGATTGATCACAACTTCAATAATTCATAACTTTGTTATTTTCATTCAGAATTTGCTCAAACTTTCACTCACCTGATTTTCTTATTATTCTGCCTCTATCGAAACAAACTTATTTTGGGGGTGGACTTTCCCTTTAACTAAGCGCTCGCGCGCTGGCGCATTTTACGTCTGGGCTAAACCTTGCAAAATAACGAAAAATTATTCTGAAGTTTATGAAGTGCTTGTTCGCGCACGTCGCGCAACTACTCTTAATGATGGTGAAATACTGTATGCGTGTAGCCTATACAGTTATACATACATAAAAAATAACTCATTTCTCATGCATTATGCTGAAATTGAAACCATCACATTTTTTCTTCTTCTTCTTCCTTTTTTTTCTCTCTTTTTTTTGGGTAATATCAGGGGGGGATGTTTGTACAGGCCATCCCCCCTACTTCAAGCCAGGGGGGATGCAGCCCCCCATCCCCCCGTGATTTACGCCCCTGATAGCAGCAGCCCTATTCGATTCCGAACGTGGGGGGGGGGGGGGGGCTCTCGCTGGTATTAAATCTTGGATCTATTGCGTGTGATGTACATGTATATTTTTTTGTTGTTAATACAACAATATTTGTATAAAAGAGGATGCTCCATCTGTTGGTTATTGAATTTTCAGTACAATTAAATTGCCACCTTACTGTCTGTTTACGATAGCACTGAACAATAAGGTACACCACTTTCCCACGCCACAGAAGTGTCAAGTTTGTTAATACTGATGCATATTTTTCCATTATAAAGTTTCTATCTAACCTACGCTAAGAGAGTATATTAATGCTGATTAAAACATTTGAAATACAAATCCTTGAAATTAACTTTTTTACTACGTCCGCAGTTTCATAAAAATAAGATGATTCTGAATTTTGCAGGAATTTAAGGTTGAAAGATTATTTTGAAAGTAAGTATGAAAATCGAAGACAAAAAAGAAATCCAAAGCCAGGGAAATACATTGATTTCCTAGATACTTTTAGTTGCTGTCATCCCTTTTCGGAATTGATTGCGAATGTGGAAAAATGACTCCGCCGGGAATCGAACAAGGGTCACTGGCTATTAGAACGCCAATGTCTTGACCACTGGACCAAGGAAACGGGCCAGAATATAACAGGAATAAATACATTTACATTCATATTTCAAAATTATAATTGCGACATATAATTACGGCAACACTTGTACAGTAAAATGAACTCTTAACGATTGAAAAAATCAAATTTACACTTTATCAGCACGATCATATGAATATCATGATACCAAGGAGATAATGATTGATATTACATAACATAATATGATCATGATCTAAATATGATATCTTTATGTTATTGCATTCATGTGATATCACCTGACTTAACATTGCACGAAATGATAACAAAATATTTATTATAAGATACGATATCATGTGATGCAAGAATATAATGTTTTTTATGAAAAGAAACGATATGATATAGTATTGATGTGACAAGGTATGATTATGATAAAAAACAATATGTTATTACTATGAGAATATAAACTGTCGCTCATAACGTTGGAATATTTATTTTTTACCCCAATTTAGGGAATTATTTTGACAATGATTTATTCCTAATAGATCTAGATACTAGTATACATTCTCAGATATTATTGAATAATGATTTGCCAGTGTTTGTTTTGCGTGACTGCCAAAGCATGTGTATGCTAATATGCTTATCAACTATGGGACCTACGCCCTTAAGTCATAAATGACAGTAATGAGGATTAATGCCCCACAAAAGGGCACTAATATGGCACATCGACACGGTTTTGATCCTGGGGCCTCACAGTTACGAGGCCATTGCTTTGCCACTGAACCATGAATGTACGCAGCGGGGGCTAGGGTAGGGGGCAGTTCCCACAAATAAAAAAAATAACAAAATGCAATAAATTATCAATAATTCATTGCATTTTACCCCGGTCCCCAACATGAACAAATCCTCTGTACGGCCATACATTATGGCTCAAGGCATGGGCACATGTCAGGGCCCGAGGAACGGCGGGGCTTGGGGGCTCAAGCGACCCCCTCACTAGAAAAAAGTATGTGTAAAATATTAAAATAGAAAGAAAGGAAGAAAGAAAAATTGTGACCTGCCAGTGCCACAAAATTAATGAGGTATCAAAATATGCCCATCTGACCGCAATTAAATCATCTGACCATTATTAAATGCCTAAAACCCTGAGCTTCATGGGGCTCAGTCCCCTGGACCCTGGGCTAATTAGTGATAAGGTATAAATAAGGTATCAAAATATGCTCATCTGACCGTAATTAAATTCCTAAACTGAACTCCTGAGCTTCCGATGGGTCTGCCCCTTGACCCCCCCGCTGCGGCTTTTTCCCCTGGACCCCAAGCAAAGCAAAGATATAAAGAAAGTGTTTAATATATTTTGACAGTCATGAAACACATATAAAGCACCACAAGTTAATTGTTCTGGATTTCCTAATAAAAGGAAGTTCACATTGCAATATTGGTTGTAGCGAACAACTCGGCACGATCGTATTTTTAAGCGAACCGTTAGTGATGAAGTCATTCATGAATGTAAATATGTAAAGATACAAAGAAAGTGTTAAATATATTTTGACAGTCATGAAACACAGATATAACACCACAAGAGTTTAATTGTTCTGGATTTCCAAAAAAATGGAAGCTCTCATGTAATCATGGTTGTAGCTAGAGCTGTTTCTTTATCTACTCCATAGGGATTCAAATTTCATTTCTTGCAGTTAATGCGGGGTACAGCCTCTCTTTCCCCGCAAATTTAAAAATTACAACCTGACCGAATATGCATTTGTTTTATGTCTTATCTCGCGTATTTTGGGGATAAATAACACTTTCACAACATACATTATGCTCAATTTTTCGCTCGCTCGCTCGTTCGCGAAATTGTGAACCCAGAAAATTAATATTTTAACATGTGGATTCAGCCCCCCCCCCCCCCCTGATGAAAATGTTAAAAAAATTGCTCGCACATAACTTAAACTTGGGTGGGGAATGTTGATATCGGACAAGAGAAAAAAAAAATTGTACCCGCTTGTATGTACCGGTACAGTGCTTTTGAAATAACTTTGTTAGTATTGGTAAGTCGAGTTGAAATAACGGTCTGCGCGATTTTCAAATATCCGGCCCCCCCCCCTATTGGAAAATCCTGGATCCGCGACTGCAACTTATCTGTTTATATGTTTCTTCCTCACTAGTTTGCAGTCATAGTAAATGAGAAGAAAGCAAAGATAAGAGAGCTGAAGGAAAGACCCTTGGGTGAGTTTCTTTTTGTTTTTAAAATTATATATTAGATTAAAACACAGAGCAGATTTGATGAAAATCAAGGGCTTGAAATATGTGTTTCAAACACTCTATCCATCAAGCATCCATCCACTTTTAGAACGGATGAACTTCCGCTCTGTTTTCGCAAATTTTGTCCATTTCTGGAGCGGATGAAAACGGATGGAATCACTCCCAAAATTTTACTCGTCCGCTGTGTCCTTTATGCATACGTTTTGTGTCCATCGGCCAGTGGGACCGGGCCATTAGATGTTTTCATATTCATAAAACCTAAAATATGGATTAATTTGTTATCTTCTTAGGACATTGTTCTGTCATGAATTTTAAAGTAGTATAGAAAAGGCTATGACCAATTGGCCGGTTTACTATATATTCAAATAATATAATATTCAAATTAATGGATGTTTCTTTTCTGGGGACCTAGTGACATTGCATTCAATTAACCTGTTATTTATGAATGAACTACAATAATTGAAATCAAGTCTGCATAGTGCATACTCTACTTTTTGCTATGTCGGGCATGCCTCGGGCAAGCTTTTAGGTTGCCAAGAAGTACATTTCTTTAAACTGTATGCATGACATTTGAATATGTAAGTAAACCAGTCTATTAGCCAATGTTTTATATAAAGCATAATTTATATTTTTGATAGCTGCCACTATGCATGATGACAGTGGAGGTCAAAGTTCAAATCATAGAAGTGAAGCGATGAAGAGTGACAGCGATGACGCGATGGATCTAGGAGATGATGATACCGACGAAAAGAGACAGGTAAGAGAGGGCTGTCGGTCATGGGGGTGGGGAGGTAGTACTGTCATCATGGGGGTGGGGAGGTCCTATGTGCCCTATGTGCTATTGGTGTCTGTGATATGGAGGCTGTTCACACCGGCAGAGATATCTGCGCTATATATGCGGTGTGGAATGTACAACGTCGTTTCGGCCCACCCAACAGCGAGCCACGGCACGCCAAAACGGCGTGCCACTGGAGCATCTCTTGGGGTGGTCCACGAGAGATAGCGCGCTATCTCTGCCGGTGTGAACAGCCTCCATATCACAGCACGGTGGAAGTCATCGTTCTGCACGCGGGGAATTTTATACTCGTTCTATTTTGGTGCGATCTGAATCTGAATCGGTACAACTCAACTCAAGGTTTGATGGATAAGCCAACAAAACTACAATAATATTGACCGCTCAGAAAAGTCAATGGGATTTTGTGTGTAATTTGCCGGTCAATACGGTTATACAGTAATGAACAAATATTTTAGCCCGATCTGAAAAGGCAATGGCAAAATGCGTGTTAAACTAGTGGGCAATAATATAGAGCCAGTTGGTTTTTACATCCCGCATCAGCTACTGTAATTTACGCATCAGCTACGGTAATTTACATCGCGCATCGTGTATAAGAAAATGCGCACTTTGCGCGAACTCTATTGTGACGTAACAATCACACCCTAGGCACACTGTTTGCAGTGTATCGAAAATCTGTCAAACACTGGATTCACAGTGCTGGTTTGACAATGTTTTTGCAACTTTAATGCTAGGAAACCCTGTGTAGCCTACATAATTTAAGAGTACATGTATAAGATAGTAAGAGTTTCTTGTTTGCTCTAGATGTCTGATGTGGTTAATGATAGTAATATTGACTGCCTAATTCAGGGCAATACGACTTGTCATATATCACCCTCACCTTTGGTTCGGGCGATATATGTTGTATTGCCCAGAAGGCAGTCAATATTACTTAAATATTGAAGCCCTAAAAAAATTGCGCTTCAAATAAGTAAAATCTTTGAATGACAGGTTTTACCATACTCTCTCCAATAGACTGTAGTGTAATAAAAACTGTTAGGAAAACTGAAATTTGATTTCGATTTCCAATCTTAAGTGTATTACGACAATCAAATAGGCTATTAGCTTGTAAAAGTCATGGGGTTCCTGACTGACCTAATTGTTTATAATTATCATCGCAGCATGAGCTAAATCCAGGATTTTGTTTCATAATCTGAGACAATGTTACCGAGTCACATTAAATCATGTGGATAGTAGACAGGCTGGATGTAGACCATATGGGAATAGACCAATTGGAGAAGTGGATGAACTGGTTGTAGACTGAATCAAAATCACCCGGTTTTACTGCTTTTTTTTAAAACAAGACTTTATGATTTTCATCCACAGAGAGAGGAATCCTTACGGAAGAAGCAGAAGAAGACTACAGCGCCCTCTCAGACCAGAACAAAACGGTCAGATGATTCGGTTACATTTGATGAGGAGTTACCTGAAGACACAACCAGCAAAGCAAGGTAGTGACTTAGCTGATGTATATCCTTAAAGTGGACATCCACCCTGATATCAATTGGTTTTAGTAAAAGCAGAACAAGAGAGAAACAAATTAGTGAAAGTTTGAGCAAAATCCGATTAAAGATAAGAAAATTATGTATATTTGAAGCGAGCTCCTCTCCAATTTGTTCCGTACTGAAAATTTCATAAACTTTAATTTTCTTAGTTATTGATGATGGAATAGATTTGTTTTATACTGGGGTTATATCAAACGACTGAACATTTTCCGAAGGTCAAATATAGATTTTGGAAGTTTTTAATCCTGGGCAAATGGGAGGGGACCTCTCAGGAGATGCCACAGAATTGCCAATTTGTGTTGATTGGATGCGCCTTCAAAAATTCATAGCTTTCTTATTTTTAATGTTTGTTTTTTTTGCTCAAATTTCACCGACCAATTTCTCTTATTTGTTCTGCTTTTATTAAAAAAGCAACCTACTATATCAGGGTGGACTTGGCTTTTAAATTTCAGGACCATATAAACTAAGCCCCCCAAAGTCTCCCCCCCCCCCCCACATGACCTCCAATCTATATCCCAAACTTTAATGATTTTATCCTATGTCCATGTATCTGTTGATTTCATTGTTTTTGCTTATGCTTTTGTTTTTTCTCTACTAATAGTTGAAACATGAGGCCACTTTAAAAGCAATCCGTTTAATTAAGTATAGGTACTTTCTACTGAAGGATAAGAAAGATGGAGAAATAAACAAACTATTTTGAAAAACGTAGACCAGTTCTCAATCTGATCTTAATTGCGGTCTGAGGATGATTGCTGACTTGATTTTATCATTCCCAACGCCTTAGATGCAGGTGCGGCCCGGTTACCGTATAAAATGGGTTAAGGAAAAAGATTGAATAGAGGATGATAAGTAAACTGTCAGTAAAACCTTGGCTATTGGTTGGAAAATGAGAATATTATTTTGTCTTAAATTTTAGGAGGAGAAGAAGAGAGCCAACATCTAGAAAGACCGCTACGTCAGAGAAACCTGCCATCCCTAAAAGTGCCTTCTTCAGGGTAAGACATTCCTTTCTTATAGAGAGTGGGTTGTCAGTTTCCATGTGCAGAAGGCTAGAATTCGCTGAGACCAGACTTGATGGAAATACCATTAATGTGTGCACAAGTCTGCACACAGCAAGCCCTTAGGCCAATCAAGAAATACCCCCCTTGTCTCTCAAAGTGTTTTCAGGGGAGGGAAAAGTAGAAGCATTACATAAGGCGTGCTGGTTAGGCTAATCCTGGTGATTGACAACACCTGTTATTGGGTAAGCACCCGGACAGTATCAAATTTATTTTTACAGGGTAGCATTTTCAGATACAAAACTGCTTTTCACAATGTCCCTTTTAACCTGGATTAAATATATATATGTGCATAGAAAGAAAAAAAATCAAGATTTATGCTCAGACTTCAAAACGAAATATAGTGAAGATTCATATTAGGAGGATTTTTAAAACAAATTTTCGCCCTTGGAGCTTTGTCAAGTAAAGATTTGATTTGACTTTGAAAATATTATCATCATATTTTACATGTATATATTTTTATTGTCGTATATTCATATATATCGTCGCTGTTTTCACGAAGTGACGGTAGTGAAAAAAAATTGCATTCACTTTGCGTTACGATTTTCCTCACTACCGTCACTTCGTGAAAACAAGGACGATATATATATATGCATATCAAGCAAACAATTTGAACAAGACAACTGACACATTGTTTTTGGCAGGGCACTACTGTTTCTTTTCATTACATAAAAATCTTCTTGAGATGAGTTCATTTGCCATGTGTAGTAGAAGATCTCATACCCACATTACATGGACATGATCATATTTTTTGCCCAAACCTCATGGAATAACCCTTATGTAACACTTGACATCTGAATATAGACATGAAATAAAATCTCTCTAGAAATCAAATTTGAGATTCATATTAACCACCGTGCTGATGCTTTATGGATTAATAAGTGACAAAATAAAAGTGTTACAATGGATCAAAAATGAGCCTGACAAAGACAATACAAAAGCATCATTCATGCAAGATCATAAACTGCAGCATTGTCTGTTCATTGGACTGTGTAAATCTTACATTCACTATGTTTATAGTACAAGCATACATTAAGCTCTCCCTTTCTGTGTTTGTTTATAGGACTCCTTCAACATCAAGGGCACCCTCTATGAGGAAAACTCCATCGCGAGAGAAGAGTCAGACAGAGACTGATAATGTAGATGATCTCTTAGATCAGTTCTGAACAACAAACTGAATATATTAATAGATACAACTCATTATTTGTAAAGAAAAGATGGAGTTCTTGTAAAAATGAGGGTTTTTTTTTCCCTCTTTTTAAGGATGGAGCTCAGTTTGAAAGAATATCATAAAAGGTATCTTTCTACAAATGTCCCCTGAAAACGATATCTCTTCACATTCAAATGACCTCATATTTAAATAAGACATGAAATAGCTGAAAATTCTGGACCAAACTTTTGTGGTACATGTGTATTTGTCCCATATACTCATTTTTATGTGCAGTGCATGTGATCTTTATCAGTTTTATATCACATTGCTCTTTTCAGACCCTTGCAATATACATGTACATAAACTCTTACATGCTTTTTCATAATGTGATCAAATTTAATGCACAAATCTTTGTGAAGTGCCTCATTTGAAATTATTTATTTCACCTGTTATGAATAATTGTATTTCAATTGATGCTATGTAGGACAAACATTGTGACTTGTCCTACCTTACACAAAGTAATATATGCAATTTGTTTGTAACAGGTGAATGAAATAATTAGTAACGATGTACATGTACTAACAACAATTTGTGCATTAATTTGATTACAGTACGAAAATGGCCATTCTAGTTGTTGGCAGGTTCTTTCGTAATGTAATCACAAGACCAGTACTCAGATTTATCTTTAAAGGAAAGATTGTAGCAGGGAACCTTGAAAAGTGATATTGCAATTATCCAGCTAGTCTTGTTTCGTCTTGTTTGTAACCATTTCACGTATTCCAAAGTGGTCTTTAACTATTAATAAGGAGTAATCTAGTTTCTGTAAATTCCATGTATTTTTGTTGTCATAGAATCATATATAATAGTTTTGCCCAATACCTAGATACGCCATAGTCTGGTATTACTGTTACTCACTTTCAGAAAATTAAAGCAGTAAAAGCATGTTTTTGCTATTAGAAAGACGTTTTGAACAGTAAAATATGTACAAAACGTGTTTTTTGTTTAATTAATCAAAAACTTCTTTTATCAGAACCCTGAAACAAATATATTTTCCCTTTAGTAATTTCCATGTCTTCTATATTTGTTGTCGTAAATATTTTATCGAATAGAGCGGGACCAGCAAGATTACTGTGTTTTAATGATGGTTTTTTAAATGAGTGTTCTTTATAATACATGTAGTAGTGGAAGGGATGTCATAGTCCGTTGAGTGGGTAATATTTGCGAGGAAATGTCCTTGAGCCAGGTATTCTTATTCTACCTACATTGCTACTCTCCTCTTAGGTGTTAAAGGGAAAGTCCACCCCAGGATTTTTTTTTAGCTGACGATATAGACCTAATAATACCATGAAGAATGATACAAGTCTCATTAAAATCCATGATCACATAACGAAGATATATCGACTTTTTTATCGAAAATCAGCCGCCCCCCAAATGCAAATGCGTTACATGGGCATGAAACGATCGCCAAAAAATAACCGATAGTATCGAAATTGTGACGTATGTTGCGAGCTGCCTTCTTATTTCGCAGACATTCACTTTCGCTCGCGGTACACTGTTATCGCACTGACACGACGAATCATGAATGAAAGTGAAAGCGAAAGTGAATGTCTGCGAAATAAGAAGGCAGCTCGCAACATACGTCACAATTTCGATACTATCGGTTATTTTTTGGCGATCGTTTCATGCCCATGTAACGCATTTGCATTTGGGGGGCGGCTGATTTTCGATAAAAAAAGTCGACATATCTTCGTTATGTGATCATGGATTTTAATGAGACTTGTATCATTCTTCATGGTATTATTAGGTCTATATCGTCAGCTAAAGAAAATCCTGGGGTGGACTATCCCTTTAAATGGGTACCCAGTACGATGCGAATGTCATTGTGGTTGGATTAGCATGTGTACTCATGTAGAAATGCAACTAGCCGTAATGATCCCCAGGGAGTGGAGAATGTGCACTATAATGTACAGAATAGTAATGAACTCGGTGACCAAGTAAGAAAAATACTCTAAGCGCTTTGGTAAATTAATGGTAAAGCGCTTTGTAAAGAAGCAGGTATTATAGTAATAATAATATACATACACTAGCAGGACCCGCGGAAATCCGCGGGATTCTAGAGGAACGGGGGTGTAAATAGATATATAGAGACTGTCTAAATTAAAACCACCAAGAACTTTGCTTGCCATTCAGGCCCTTAAAAAAATATACATGTTGAGCGTCCCCGCCCGATTCCTTTTTGGGGGCCGCCTCCTATTTTTTTTTTTTTGAAATTTTTTTGATTTTTTTTTTTTGATTTTTTTTTTTTTTTTTGAAAGAAAAAAAAACAGCGTCCCCGCCTGCTTCCTTTTTGGGGACCGCCTCCTATTTATTTTTTAAATTTTTAAAAAAAAATTTTAAATTTTTAAAAAAAAATTTGTAATATTTTTTTTTTTTTTTTTTTTTTTTTTTTTTGAAAGAAAAAAAAAAAAACAGCGTCCCCGTCTGCTTCCTTTTTGGGGGCCGCCTCCTATTTTTATTTTTTATTTTTTTTTTATTTTTTTATTTTTTGAAAGAAAAAAAACATGAAAAGCACTGCTAAAATGTATTTCTGTTTTTAAAAAAGAAAAAAAAAAAATTCTCGGCCGCCATCTTGAAAAATGGCCAGAGTGTCAGGGAAAATTTACGGAGCGGCCATTTTGAAAAAAAAAAAAGGGCCTCCTTCCCATTTTTCGAAAAAACAGGACGCTAAACATGTTTTTTTTTTAATTTGGCCTTATATATAAAAAAAAAAAAACGATCCAACTGTACCTGTAGTTATTCTTTAAGCCACTGGAACTGCGTAGAGTTCCGTAGTGTGGCGTACCGACTACGCAGAAATTAGGCTGCATATTAATGGGAAAATAGTCCCTGCGTAGGTTATGCGTAGGCTGGCGTACAGGTTTGCTTATGGTTGCTTACTGTGTAGAAAGCTTTTACTGCTTTGACGATCTGGCGTAGGGTAGCGTACTGTTGCGTAAAAAGGCGTACTTTCTGCGTCAAGTTTCTACGCCGAAAGTACGCGAAAAAAATTAAACATGTTGAATTGTTTTCGTTCATCTTGCGTACCTCTTTCCCTCCCTCAGCATATAGTAACGTAGGCCAGCGTAGTTGGTACGCAACACTACGCAACTCTACGTATTGACCACACGCCAATTAGTGACCCGCAAGTGTCACAAATAAAGTATTAAAAATATGCTCATCTGACCCTAAACGCCTAAACCCCCCAAGCTTTCGGGGGTTTATGGCCCCTTGAAACCCGTGGACCCCACGCCTATATTGTATATACACTCAACTCGCCGCGATCTGATCTCTCCCCCCCCCCCCCCAACTTTGAAGAACGTAACCCCCGAGCTTTTGGGGGTTTATGGCCCCTTGAAACTCGTGGACCCCACGCCTATATTATATATACACTATATACACGCGGGATTCTAGAGGGGGGGGGGCGCAGGCAAAAAATTAAGTTTTTTCATTTCGGGGGCTCCATTTCAAATTTTTGGGAAATTTTCGGGGGCTACTTTTTCAACTTTCGGGGGCTCTTTTTTCTGGGGCTACTTTTTCATTAATTCATAAAAGGATAGACCTACACTTTGTTGAGAATTGTTTAGTAGGCGAAGGTTTCAGGCTTAATACTTAATACTAATTGCCTATTTAAAAAAAAAAAACATTTTTCTAGTTCAATAACTAAGTTTTCATGCATTGCTTTGATGCAAGAACTGTAACATAATTAATAGATCTAGATTGTGATTATTTCTGACCATGAATTTCGATAATCATTTTTCAAAGTAAAATTTTCACAAGAAAATCAGACAGTCGTTTAAAAACGTAGACATTAGTAATACTTTTACTAATTCTAAGCTCAGGTTTCGTAAATCTATTCACGAAACTATATTGAAATCGTGATGCAAACCAACAGATAACAATTTCAAAGTGTCAAATCTCTTCGACTCGAGCTCAGCTCAGCTGATCGAACTCGCACAAACTCCAGCGTAACTCCATGAAGCTCGAACACCGACGCCGCAGGCCTCGGACGGCTGCGGTGCGCGGTGCCGGTGTTACACTGCCCTGTGTCTCCTGTATGTGTGAGAGGACTGAAGGCAGCTTGCGACTGAATTGTCAGTCCAATGGTTTTCTTGTGAAAACTTTCCTTTAGAAAATGATAATCAAAATTTAGTAGCATGGCCGTAATAATCACAAAATAAGCTTTCATTTCATACCTCCATTCATGAAAACTATATAAAAATCGCGGCAATAATGATGGAAATAGGTCCCTAAGTTTGGACGTGGACGGGAAGCTTCGTGTGTATCTCTGTGGCTTGTGCAGCTACTATACAAAGGATATCCTATAGAAAGATGCTTTAAAGCCCCAGTCCCATATAAAGCCGGACCAGCACGGACGAGCACGGACCACTCCGGACCATCCCGGACCATGGTCTGGGGTGATCCGGGATGGTCCGGGATGTTTTGTTCAAAAAAGTGTGATGCTTTTAAAGCTACAGTCCCATATACGTCCCGGACCGTCCCGGACCATCCCGGACCCCATCCGGGGTGATCCGGGATTCGGTCCGTGTTGACACCGTGTTGGCACCGGGGTGGTCCTGGATGGTCCTGGGCGGTCAATAACTCACTCCCGGACTGCCACGGATCAACACGGACCGCCCCGGCGCCACTACGGATGACCCCGGACCCAGCACGGTGGCTACACGGATCACCCCGGATCAAACTATTGTCCCGGACCGTCCCGGACCACCCCGGCAGTTTTTGACCGTCAAAAACATCCGGGGTCGACTCCCGGACCGCCCAGGACCATCCCGGACCATCCCGGACCATCCAGGACCATCCAGGACCACCCCGGTGCCAACACGGTGTCAACACGGACCGAATCCCGGATCACCCCGGATGGGGTCCGGGATGGTCCGGGACGGTCCGGGACGTATATGGGACTGTAGCTTTACTCGGGTAAGCCCGACCCTGTGCGTCGTGCATTTAATACGCAACTTAATGTGAGTGGATGGTCATCGGTCGTGTGTCTACGGATGTCATGTTGAATATCCATGAGGTATCTCTGTCGTCACGCATATCCTGCATTATGCATGTCGCGTCTGTTTTCGCCCTGGACGTCGACACGGAGGAGGACCTCGGGCGGAGTATAGCCAATTCGCTAGAGTAGACTCTCCCGCGGACGACGGCACCGGTCACCGGTACCCCGAGGGGAGGGTTCAGGAGGAGATAGCTGCACCAACTTGGGTCGGCGATCTCATTAAAAAACAATAGAATACAAAGACCGGCGGAGACGTCATGCCCCCCCCCCCCCCCCGCGGAGCCTTAGCGTATTACTATTATAGAATGTTGAATAGTAAACACTCATCTAAAAAGTAAGTCCCCCCTCCCCGACACTTTTTAATATAACTCTAGAATTTTGATCGTCAAATTTGATAATTTAGGAAGTAATGTAAGCAGGATTTGTCTACTAACGTTTTAAGTAACTATTTCTACTCGATTGATAATGATTTTATTATAAAATTACGTTTGTTTGCATGCAGTCAGTGTTTAAAAGAGTATTTAAAAATCGTGTAAATAGGCATATACCACAAGCTGTCTATCTCTGCTGAATTTCGGCTCCGTGTGGTTGACGTAATACTCATCATTAATGTCCCCTTTACTAGAATATATGTAAATTAGTATAAAGACCTTTGTGCACACGGATTCATCATGACACTTTTTTGTATGCACCATCGCAGCTGTGTAAAGTGTGTCATTAATTTTGCTAATGTTGATAAAGGTGCCCCATGAAATAATGCTCTAGGAGATAAAAGTTTCTTCATCATACAATCAATTGCAGTCTGTTTTCTTCGTAGCTGATTTGTCAAACATTTTTTTTAAATTTTAGTAAAGAAGTTTATATCAATAAAGAGTTTTTTATACAAAATATCGCATGTTTTTTTTTTATGTATAATTATATCTTTATGGATGTACATTTTAATGCGTATCAGGACAATTACCCCTGTGCAATAACTCCCCGGAAAACTGCACCCAAAGGACAACGACCCCCGGAAAATTACCCCTGAGGAGAAAAAATGAGAGGGAAAAGGAGAGAAAATAAGAAAGGAAAGAAAAGAGGAGAAAAAAGAAAAATAGGAAGGAGAGGAAAGAAAGAAAAAGGAAAAAAAGGAAAAAAGAGAACGAAAAAGAGAAACAAGAAACAAGAGAAACGGGAATGAAAGAGAGGAGAGAAAGGGTGTAAGAGCCTGAGAGAGGAGGGGTGGGAGTAA